AGTGTGATTACAGACTGGAAACAGATTTTTGTTGATATTATGAAATCAGGTTGTATGGTTAGCATTTCTGATGTTCTTGCTGTCTAATGTGACTTCAACCCACAGAGCCTATATTCACCAGTACACTAAATATGGAATTGAAGAGGACGACTTCCTGGACAGCTTCACAGCTCTGGAACAGGTTATCTCCAGTTACACCACTCTGTGATTTTTTTTTTTTTTTTTTTTTTTTAAATTCTCACCCTGAAACTTTACTGGGATTTGCAGTTAGCTCCTACCTGTCATCCTCATTAACAGCTCCAAGGAAACTAGGACAGTTTCCAATTCATGTACCTTATTGACTACATTACCTGCAGCACGTCTAGATTCAACAGAGATATTCATCTTGCTCAGGGATGGGGAGGTGCTGGGAACACAGCGGAGCGGCTGGATAAGGGGATGAGCACGGAGAGGAGCCTGCCTGCATAGAGCATCCCACGCACACAGATCCAAGGAAAAGCAGCTTTCCAAATTTCAGGAGACAGCAACGGGGCATTAGTGCTATTGTTAGCACAGCTTCATTTCAAATCTTTTGTTCTCTTTCAGAATAAGGCATCAGACAAGTCTGAGCAAATATTAAAAGGGCAAGATAGGCAGATAAGAAGCTTCCTTGAGATGTGAAGCATGGATGTCAACACATCATCAATGTATTTGGCTTTCTAAGCGTGTTCTTGGTCTGTGTCCCGTGTTTCCGAGCGCGCCCAGGTGCTCGTTTGCTCCCACGTGCATCCGTCCCAGGAGGGCGTCCTGCCGGCTGCAGCTCAGCGCTCTGGAGAGGCTGCAAGAAGGGACCTGGGTGGTGGGGCAGTGCACCCAAGTGCTCTGACAAACCACCCCGAGTGCCCCCCTTGTTACCTAAACTCTGACGGTCACCAAGTAGCACAGAGACATTCAAGTTGTCAGATCCTGCTTTTATGCTTATTTACATGTCTACATCTTACTACTAGAGTTTTGAATAATTTATTTTTTAAAGTTCATATGAAACCAGAATGTATAGCGGTTTTCATAATTCTGAGCAGTTTGTGACTTAAATATTGTGGGGTAACCGAGAAGCTTGAAGTAAAACAATTTGTCCAGCTCAAGACAAATACATAGTGTAGCTTTTTTTTTTTCCCTCCCCCTATGTTATTTGGGGGAAAAAAAATAAATAAAACCCTTAATACTAACCTAAATACTAACTAAAAATTAATTACAAAATACACTAAAACACATTTCAACTATTTCTATTAAAACAATAGATGGAATTATGAGAGCTGACTCAGAACTATGTTACAGAAATACACATTTCTGTAGGCTGCAGCAATACTAGTCCCGTCTTCTCACAGAAATCAAATAGGACTTGTACTGCAGCAGTTGTCCTGCCAGCTGCACCAGTGCAAACTTCCTTTTTCACCATTTCAGAGCACCCTGATTTGGTGCATAGCCCAGGTAAAAATTTCATTCCAGTTGTGCTTGTGAAAATTTCTACAATGCGCACAGAGAAAAGAATTCTCTCTGGAGATTTACACACTCCTTGGCCTACTGAGACTTCTGCTTAAGCTAGCTATGAGCCATTTACAATTTTTTGACCTCATTTAATACTGACCACATTTCTTTCTTGTCTACTGCTGTTATTCATCACAAGTTAAGTCCTCTGGGGTGGAAGTCACCTCCTTGCTGCCCATCGCTGCCCCTCACAGGCACTGTGGGCACAGCTGGGCACGCCGAGCTTCATACACATCAGCTCTGTGGGCTTGCCCAGCTTCACAGAATCCCAGACTGGTTGAGGTTGGCAGGGACCTCTAGGGATCATCCAGTCCAACCCCCTGCTCCAGCAGGGACACCCAGAGCACGGGGCACCCGGTCACATCCAGGCGGGTTGGGAAGATCTGCAGAGCAGGAGCCTCCGCAGCCTCCCTGGGCAGCCTGGGCCAGGGCTCGCGCACCCTCACAGTGCAGAAGCTCTTCCTCACATGCAGATGGAGCTGCCTCTGTGTCAACTTGTCCCCACTGCCCCTTGTCCTGTCACTGGCCACCCCCAAGAAGAGTTTGGCCCCTTCCTCCCTACATCGTCCCCTTAGGTACTTACACACATTGACCAGATCCCCTCTCAGCCTTCTCTTCTCCAGGCTGAACAGGCCCCGCTCGCTCAGTCTCTCCTGAGATGCTCCACTCCATCATCTCTGTCGCTGTCCGCTGGCCCCTGTCCAGAAGCTCCCCAGCCCTCTCATCCTGGGGAGCCCAGAACCGCACTCCTCCTGCAGCTGGGCAGTTTTACTGATGCCCTCAGTCAGCAGCAGAAGCCGAGCTGGCTGTGACTGATGGGATGCTCTGCTGAGTGCCCACCACTACCACTCTAATGGCAATAAACAGCCATCACGTTTACCGTGAAATGACAACAGAATTGATGTCATTTCTCCTCAGTGTAGTATATTTTTTTCTTCCAGAGATAGGGCATGCTACCTGACAGCAAACATTTGTCTAGAGGTCGTATTTTTCTTTCACTGCTGTTAAATTAATAAAATGTTCTGTTCTATTTCTTGTTGAAAGGAATGTGATGCAAGACCACGCAACTACAGTAGGAAAGTAATCTATAAACGCTGCATTGCAAAAGATGTTTGTTATTTATTTAACACTCTTCCTAAGGCTTCTGGGTTTCTACCGCAAACCCTCAAAATTCAGATAAATGACAGGCCCCAAATAATTTGACAGGCAAATATTTGTCATTTGCAACAAGCTCTTTAAGAAAAAAGGAGCAAAGCTGCTTGATTATTGACTTTCCTTAATCACTGCCCATTCTTAATTTACTATATCCTTCAATGAATCCTTCCAGATTCGTACAAAAATCTAGACATTAACTAGGGTGAAAAACTAATTATAAAACCTAAGATACGGTTCTCTGAAGCAGCAGTATGTCATTCAGAATTACTGTCTCAAATTACTTCTCTATCAAAGTGAAATATATATACACCTCATGCCCCTTGTCACCATTGCCAGCAACAGAACTTCCCTGAAGGTTTCCAGTGGGAAATAAAACAGGCTGCCTGACTGACAAAAGCAAGAGAGGAACACTGCTTTTCCAACTCAAAAAGCCAAAGCCAGCACAAGCAGCAACTTTTGCTGAAAAGCAAAACACACTTGTCTTATCATCTGGGAATGCAAGGGGGAAACTTTGATTAACAAATTGGGGATGGTGTCAGTGAGTCACACTGACTTACAAAGGCAGCTGACAGCTGCCCTAGGAGGCATGGAGACTGCGCTCTGCCAAGTCATTGTTTCAGGCGTTCCCCACTCAACCCATATGTGCCCCCCCCCCCTTTTTTTTTCCTCCTTCCTAAAAGGACTTTGTTCTAACCTTTTGTACTTTCACATTTGGCTTTCATATTGTTTTCCCAATTATCTCTGAAACTATCAATCCCTAAATTTAACCACTTTCTTCCAGGATCTTCCTTTCCTCCTCCCTTCATCTCTGAACTGGCGAGTAATGAGGTTTATGCTCCTCTGGTTTTAGTTTTATCTATTTCATTAAGAATTTTCGTAAGAAAAATCTTCAGTTGTTTGCTTGATCCATGCCTCTACCTAGTGTATGGCCAGCGTGTTTCTGACAGTTCTGCTTGCATAGTAGATGATGTCTCAAAAGCACAGCTGAGTTCACACGGTTCAGGCAGGTGGCAGCTTTTCTCCAAAGAGGAATATCTGGAAATAGTTTACATGCCTCCACTGCACTCTTTTCTCTCGGCTCTTTCTAGAGGTGAGAATGCAATGTAGGTGGACATAGGTTATCTTGCCTATGAGACCAAATAAGCAAGTTTCAGCAAAGGCTTTCTCCAATTCAGCCATAGGATAAATACGTTGCTTGTAGCTACAGGGCTCATGGAAAACACAACCAACAGGAACAACCCGCAGAACAATGAAAGCTTGAATGCAGCGTGATGGATGGCATGCACACATGCATGAAATATTCTCAAATAAAAGAAAAATCAGAGAATGCTGAATGCCTGCAGAAAACCATATACTAACAGAAAAAAAATAATAAAACAGAATTAATCTTTGGAGGACAAAAAAAGCCAAAGTGGAGGGAGACCTTAGCAGTTCACAGGCTGCTTTCCACAGCCACTTGCTAACTAGCATCCAACTCTCAGTATGCTATAATGAGGCAGATAAACCATGCTATCATCTAAAACAACAGAGGTCAAAACCCTCAAAAATAGACAGAGAAAGAGACTTCTTCAACATTAAATCAGTCATCCCTTACCTCCCCCATAGGGCTAGTCTCAATATGAAGAGCCACATTTAAGAATGTCTCTGCCTTCCCAGATGTAAACTGCAGATTGTGCCCAAGACAGTTGTCCAAAGCCAGGACACCTTCCCGTCTGGATACTGCAGCTACAGGTGTTGAGGCTGCCAGCTTTATTAACGATGCCATTAAAAAAATAAGTTACTAAAGAACAGGTGCAGATTAAGTAAAACAGCTCTCGCCAAGATGCTGTTTGCTAGTTGCCTGGAACTACTGCCATCTTCATCTTGCTTGGCTTTGGCTTCCATCAGGAAGCAGATTGCCCTAGGTCACTTCCACCTCTGCAGAAAGGTCCAAAGAGACCTTTGCACAAGTGCATGATGCAGCAACTGCAAACAACAACGTCCCGTTGTTCCCTCCAGTATAACCATGGCGTTTTCATACAATATGTCACTTAAGAAAAGTCCTCCAATGTATGCACGTGCTTGTGGACAAGCATGTTTACTCTGCGCTTCCATCTCTCAAGTTACATCTCACCTTGAAGCCATGAAGATTATTTGATTATTTGCAGAGGGCCCAGAAGGAACGCTCACGGCGTTCAAGGTTTTGCTGCCACAGGCAGCTCCTGCATTGACACAAGAGTGGCTGGTGACTCTTCAATTAGATAGGTTACTGCCTTGTACTGGATTATTTGCTGGGATTCTCTAACCTCTTCGGGAATAACACATTCATGTTATATAAAGCACAAAAGAAGATTTCAAAGGCAATCTATTAAGAATTCTCGCTTTACTACATGAGTTTCACAGCTCTATGTATGGAATTCAGCACAGATTTGCAAAAGCATTTCAGTTTATGAAGTCAGTCCAAAGTGGTAACAGCCATCAAAATGAAGTCTCATCAGCAGCTTGCAAAATATTCTAACGATGCACTCAAAAGTACTAATTTTCACAGTTAAGCTGTCAGCAAGAAAGAAAATAGGAATATAAGAAATAAGAAAATTGGGTGGTCACAAGAAAACAGATCAAGAAGTTACTTTGGTCTTACCTCTTATTTGGTGCTGTGATAGTAGCTGGAGTTTGACATCCCTCCTCCTCGAATGGCATGAACAGCTGTTGGAGAAGATGCTGGGTAATGACCAGGGCGGATGGGCTTGGCTGTGAAATAAAAGGGAGAAACCAAACAAAACAGTTATCTTTCAAAGAAAATTTGCACCTCACCTTCTCCTCTAATGGAGATTTTGGATGGCTGATATCAGGGGCACAAGGACCCATTTGGTGATCAGTCATACACTTCCTACCTCCTGTTCCCTCCAGGAACTAATTATATCTTTCCAGGAGAAGCTGAGAAAGACACTGATGGCTTTCCAGAAGAGAAAGCAAAGGAAATGAAACACTGTGCACCACTTAGTTCTAACTGGGGCTTTAAGGTGTTGGTATCACAGAATCCCAGAATGGTTGAGGTTGGAAGGGACCTCTAGAAATCACCCAGTCCAACCCCATGCTCCAGCAGGGACACCGAGAGCACGGGGCACCCAGTCATATCCAGTCAAGTCTGGAAGATCTCCAGAGAAGGAGACTCCACCACCTGTCTGAGTATGAAAGCATCACCATCCCAGTATTAACTTTTCAACTTCTCAGTATGAAAGTATCACCATCCAAAACATTATTATTCTCCATCCAATCATTTTAAAAACTGCAACCTGAAAAACTCTGCTTTAAACACTGATGATACACCCACACTCAGCTTGCAACTGCAGTCATGATCAAGCACTGAGTTGTAAAAGAAAACATAATTACACAGTCCAAAACAAAGCACCAGGAGCAAGCACGAAGAGATACGAGGGCCAGAAAGGCAAGAAAGGAAAGAACAGCTGAACAAGAGCATGTGGTGGGGTTGGGGGAAAGAATAAAGGAGCAACTGATTTGAAGAGACAAGTTTTCAGGTCATTAGAAGGGCACACAGGACCCATTATGCCATTTATTCACGAAGTTAAATAGCAGAGGGACTTCAAACTTCAGCTGGGGCATATTACATTAAAAAATTAAGTCTTTGAAGATTTTTGTACATCCGAGAACGACATCCAGTGGTTTGCCCTGAACCCCTGCTTTCAAAGAGCCCTTCATGTAAAAAAATGAGCAAACAAGCCAACCGTGAAGCGTGAGAGCAACTAATAACCCTTTAGCTCCATGTCCTTACCAATCTGAGCCGAGTGCGCTCTCCGTGCCATGTTTTTGGCTCTCACAGCCTCCTTAATGCGATCTACCTCCTGCTGGTAGCGCTTGCGGTCGCGCATCGCGTTCTCCTTGGCCTCCTTCAGTGCACTCTCCAGGGCCTTAACTCTCTCTGCCGTAGCTCTAAGGCGTTTCTCCAGCTTAGGAAGCTCACAACGAAGATCTGCATTATCACGAACCAGCTGCGCAAAACGAACATCAAAAAGAGCCCGTGAGAAATGGTGAGAAAGCCCTCTTACAATAGCAGATTGCTATTCCTTTCCACACTGTGACACTCTATAGGCATTTACGACAAGTGAAAGAATACGTGTGGGTGTATTTATATACATTTTGCAGAGATTTCCAGTGGTTATGGCATGCTTGCCACCCTGTTCCCTAAAAACCAGAAACTTTGTGCCTCTCAAATATCACCAAGAATTATTTTATTTCTATGGAAATACCTTTAAGGCTTGTAGCTACAAATGTGTTTATGCTCATAAACAATCCTGAATTTCTGAATCTCCTAGATTAAATTGGAAGCTAAACAAAATCTACCAGTTATCAAAATAACAGTAACTTTAGTTCAACAGTAGTCAAAAAGAAAGACTCATTTTTGATAAATTTAAAATCCTCCTGAAAACAGAGAACCATTTGGAAAAACCCAGTACAATCCATATTGAACCGATGATACTGCTACTAAAAGGTAGGAGGTAACTTTTCCAAGGAAGTGATTATCTCTTTTCTGAGGTGTAGGGAAGGAAGTGGTTTAGCTACCTTATTAATAATGCAGTGGAACAACTGCACATAACAACATTCACACACTGTTTGACAACTAAAGTGTTTTACATCTGCTAGTCAGGCTGCGCATTGGGGGGGAAGACAAGAGGGAAAAAAATAAAAAAGGCAGAAATGAAGCTAAAAAAAAACTGTCACAGGATGCTGATCATGGAAATGTTGAACACTTCTCATCCTGCTTTTATCTCAAATCATACCTATTTGGTAGAACATCATATTCAGATCAAGTCTGACATCTTTTTATCATCTAAATGTCTTATGAGCCATAGCCTTCTAATTGCTTTTCAGTAAATACATACTAGTGAGAGCTATAAAAGCACATATCCAGGAGAAAAAAAGGTTAGGAAGATAAAAGCATGAATTGAGTGGGGGGGAAAAAAAAAACAGGAAGAGGAAAAACATTATTAGTAAGTCTTGTTTTCCAAATTCAGAAAGAAGGTTTTCGAACCATCTGTTCTTCAATTATATGAAAATACTGAACCTTAATGGACACTTGCCACAGTCTGGCAGTGCTTGCTTTTTTGTCACATCTACAGCAGTAAATAAAGCAAAACTTGGAGACTGCTGTATCTTGCTAATAACAATTTCACAAATCTGTAAGGGACAACATTATGTCCCTATTCAAAAATGAAATCAGAAGCTTTTTTTTTTTTTTTTTTTTTTAACTACTTCATCCACTGCATCAGAGAATATGAGACCCAGCTCAAAAATATCACCAATCTTAATATTAACTTATTAACATCATAAATATTGACACACAAAGGGGGAGGGGATTTACTTGCTGAAATCTAGCTGCATCTAATGAAGTGTCACACAGATATAATAGGCAGGCAGGAGGTTCCTGACCCTACAGCCACAGTGCCTCCTCACCATGCATGCCCTCCGCCTCCCACCTGCTGGGGCACTATGAAAGACAAAAGACTCTCTAAAATTTTAGAGAAAACTGCAACTCAAAATAAAACAGGGGATGAGGATGAGGAGAAGAACATGCCTGGAAGAGGTCAACCTTGGTGCTCCTGGAGGCTACCAGCCCTTACATATTTCTCTATTTCCTATATTCTGCTGACTGCTCTACTGATATCAGCTCCTATGGTGCCCCTAAGCTGCTTTAGACCAAGGGTCTAAGCTGGGGATATTACAATGCACCTAAACCCACTAATACAGCATTTTGTTCTGTATCCTTACACTAAAGAGGTTAGTGCATTGCACCAACACATTGACAGTTGTCAAAGCTGCCAGAACCCCTTTTCCTAGAGAAAAAGACAAGAGTAATTTAATGCATTCATGTGAGGTAGGGGTAACGCGAAGAGCACCACCGACACCAACTCTGAAGACTAGGAATTTTAGCTGAGAACTGGAGGTGCCATTTCCTCAGACAATAACTACAAGTCCCCTTCAGGGATTATCCTCTTGAACATATAAAAATAGGGATTAAAATAAAAAGTAATTTGTCATGCTACAGAAGAATGATACAGTAAATGATGCCGCTGCAGCTGAATTTTCAGAAGCAATCATCATTAAAAACAAAAAGGCACGATGGTTTCCCATTTAACAGTACATACGCACAAAAAGGAAGCAAGTGGAGCCCCTACCTGTTTGTGAACCTTTGTAAGTTGTTCCAGATTGTTCTCAAGAAAGGAAATTTTCTGCTTCTGCGCAGCACTTCCACCCCCATCGTCACTGTCAAGTTCAACACTCTGCAAACACAGATACAGAATTAAGTAAAGCCATGTGGAAACACAGCTAAAAGCTCACACATTTTGTAATTTTAAGTTTCCCAAAGGCAGGAAAGTTTTCCAGAACATCCAGTTAAAGAAAATTTATTTTACCTGTTGATTTTGTATTTCAAGAGCTGCATTCCCTCTAGACAGAAATTATTTTTTTTTAACAGAATAATCATGTGGAGATGTTGGATAGGAAAATCATAGATTTTCTAACTGCAGATCACTGAAAGTTGCAGTGTGAGTTTCTAGAGCATGTTTCATGATTTCTGGCATATTCATTATACCATCTCTGAGAATTCAGTAAACTGAACTGAATTGGGTAAGGCAATTTCTCTTAATTCATAAGGCTTTTCCTTAGCAAATTAGGACCAAATAAGAGCTAAGCCTGGGTAAACTGTCTTAATTTTATTACTCACTATTACTGAAGAAGCATCTCATTTTGCACAACATGCGCTAAAGGCTTCCAGAAAATCATGAGAAGAGGGCAAAAAGGCATAAAACCCAGACTCAAACTAATATGTACTGTTAAAATGAAGTTCAAGTGACATTCAAACTTACTTTTTTAACTCGAGTGGTGAGGTCTTGAACAAACAGTTTGCGCAGATTGTGGAGGGTCTGAAGTTCTCTTGCCTGGAATTAATGTAGGAAAAAAAATCTCACAAACAATAAGGCATAGCAGATGTTCCGGGGTAAAAAATGCTCTTCAGACTAGAGTAGATATTATGACTTTACTGTGGTTTACTTATAGAATTGTATGTGCACGTACATGTCTGTCTTATGTGTACGCATTGGCCTCTACAGTTAACGAGGTTATAGAAAAGTTGCTATAACTGCAGACCCGAATTACAAGCTCAAACATGAGGCAGACTGTTCACCTTCCCTAAACCATAAGAAATTATGGGAGCAAAACAGCGTCTTCTATATTGTGCTTTCTTTGAATGCTACACTTCCACATCTGCAGAACGGTCAGTCATCCACAGGAAAGGAAACTGCTGGGTCAAAGGGTTCCCTTGAACCCCGCATTGAATGGAAGCATCTTCCTCAAATTTGTAAGAGCAACCTCAGCTCTTCTATTTTGTTCTTATCTGCTCACATACAGGAACTTAAATCAATCATTTGATAAGCAGCAGCAGGGCTATAAGCTTTTTAACTTCTTTTTTTTTATTTTTATCTCTCAAAAGGAAGACTGATCCAAAGAGACACAGTATCGCAATAGGAACCTCTGGGAAGTTTCCTTCATGGTGAACAAAATGGTGAACAAAATGCATTCTAAGCACAATTTATTTAAGCTTATTTATTTCCAAAGGTTTCTGTTCTGAGCAGACATCCTGGGGCCATTCCATGCAGGCAGAGCTGCAGCCTCCCAGAGCGTGCAGGTTCAGGCGCACTGTCCAAGCGGATCTCCAAAGCCCAGGTCCCTTCCATAGGCTCCCGATTTTACTTCTGGATAGGGATCCAAGGCTAGGTCCCTTCCACCCCAGCCCAGCGGTGCGAGGAGGACAGGTCAAAGCAACGATCACCACTTCAGCCCCACAGGAACTATTCTTCCTCCTGCCCTCCCCACAAGGATAATCCAAAGGACAGAGCTCCTACACAGGAGGCTGATGCCTCCCTATACAAACGTGCTGGTAGACCTCCTATTGTCTAGGACTGCACATGTTATGTTCGAGTTTTCCTATAATTATTAAATACTAACAAAGTGAATAAAATTTTGAATAGAAGGCACTATAAAGACATTTAAAAGTTCTTTTTAAAAAAATCTGTTTTTCTGCAAACTGTCTCACACTGCCTAGCTCTGATTTCCAGCAGCCTTATATTCAATGCATAAGGGGAAAAAGAAAAAAAGAAAAAAAAAAAAAGAAAAAGGGTGTTTCAGACACATAAGGTGTGCGAGCAGCTCAAGAACACCTTCAGAAAGGCAGTTAAATCTTTCCGGACAGGAATTTTTATTTAAATAGGGCTTATTTCTAGGGGAGCCAACAACAACCAAAGCTGATAGGACCAGGACTGCCCAGCTTCAGAATAAAAATGATCCAAATTTTCAAAGTGTTGAGCTCCTAATGACCCTGAGGCCCCTATAACCTTAGATTTTTTGAAGTATCACACACAGGAAAAAAGGCTGTTCTTGAGTTCAAAAGGATATTATTTTGCATATTTAATCAATATGTCTTATAGTAATAGATAGTTATTTAAAAATGAAGTTCTATTAATAAGAATTAAGGTTTAACGATAACTTTTCTTCTCATACTAATGAAGTAAATGTAGATACTGGACATAATTCACCAATAAATTTTCAGCTTGCTCTAAGCTAACACTGACAGCTCAATTTCTGACTCAAGTTTTCCCATATGACAGGAAATTCATAAGGGACAGAAAAAAAAACAATTTATGCAGTTGTTTCCCCCCCCCCC